CTAAACCCACCCTAAACCCAAACCCCTAACCCCAAACCCCTAAACCCTAAACCTGAAACCTTAGGCTGGTCTGACTGTAACGGTTTAGGGTTTAGGGAGGCTTGTCTGACCGTAGCAGAGAGGCAAAGAGCTTCAAAAATCAATTCTTAGACCTGTTCCCTGAACCCAAAATCCTAAACCCTGGGTTAGGGTTGAGGGTTTAGGGTTTAGGCCTAAACCCAAAGTCCTACGTCCCAAACCCCAAGCCATGTTCGGGCACGGCAGCTCCCACCCAGGGCCATGTGTGCGCTGGCAGAATTCGAGTCCCGCAAGGAGGCTCTCGCCTTAGGCCAGGAGCATCTCAAGGACTCAACGGCTTTGGGCTTTTAGGGTCGTATTGGGCTTCGGGGTTGAGGGTATGGGGTTAAGGATCGTCTTGGATGTAGGGATTTAGGGTATTGGGTTTAAGGTATTGGGTTTTTGGGGTTTAGGGTTGGGGTTGTTTCCATCGGTTTTTAGACGGGTTGCTTGAGGTGTTCTACATATTTAGTAGCACCCCAAGGACTCCAGTGCTTTGGGGTCTTGGGGTCTTGGGATCTTGATAGGTTCGCTTCCTAACAATGGCTAGACCTGCTTTATGGGTTGTCAAGATTTGTTTAGAAGAGTCGGCTTTTGTCTAGGATTTGATCGGTTCTTACAAGCGTCCTATTTGTTTTTTGGCTTGTCACAATGCTTTGAAGGGTGGTTGGACCCTACACCCTTAACCCATAGGGTGGCTGTGGGTTTGGGTTCAATGTTTGCGGCACTGAGGTTGAGGTTGTCTAGGCTTCTGCTTCTTGGGGAACGAGTTCGTTTCGAAGAGCCGCTTCTGAAGGATGTTTTGCCGTTTCGAGATCAGTCTTACCGACATGATGGTCACAACTTGGCTTTGCAAAATGGAGGTTGAATGAAGAGCAGCAATGTAGTGGCAGTGAGACATAGTGAGACAAGACGATGAGGAAAACGATGCCAGGTATCAGCGGATCTGGCATATCTGAGCACACTGCGTTTCCTCAACACTGAACCCGAAACCCTCCCCTCCACCCCAAAACTCCGCAAACCTCCAACCTGTAGAAGCCTTCAGCATCCCGCTGACCCTAAATAACCTAAACCCTAAACCCCGAACCCTGAACCTCTAAACCCTAAACCCTAAACCCTAAGCCATAAACCCTGAACCCTAAACCCCTAAACCCTACACCCTGACCCTACTGTAAACTCAGTGGTTTTCAGGACGTCCGTGCAGCTGGAAACAAAGAGCAGGAGGCCATGGCCCTGCAGTCCCTTGCAGAGGCGCTCCAAGGGGCCTCTGCTGTTTGGGGGCCTAGGGCTGGGTTTCGGATTCGGGGTTTAGGGTCTAGGGTTTCGGATTTAGGGTTTAGTGTTTAGGGTTTAGGGCTTCGGGTTTAGGGTTTAGGGTCTAGGGTTTTAGGGTTTAGGGTTTAGGGCTCAGGGTAGAGGCTGGGTTTGTTAGGGTTCTCTCTGGGGTTTGGAGTTCAGGGCTTCTACGGTTTCTCTCCAGGGCCTAGCAGCTTACATACATGTGAATGGCTTTCCATATGCACAGCATACCTAGCCCCTAAACCCTAAACCCGAAACCCCAACCCCTAAACCCGAAACTCTAAACCCTAAACCCTAAACCCAAACCTCTAGCTGTATATGGTGGGCTCTGGGGGTTTCAGGGTCTATGTGCAGGCCTTCCCGGCTGGGGGTCGAGGTTGAGGGGTTTAGAGAGGTTTAGGGTTTTGGGTTTAGGGTATAGGGTTTAGGGTTTTTGAGGGGGGTTTTAGCTTTTCGGAGGTTGTTGGGGTGTGGAGTGTAACAGTTTAGAAGCATGTTGCACTGAGGTGTACGAGTCCCTAGCAAGTGTACGAGTTTTGATTCCATGGGGATACTAACACACGAAGGGACTTCCACGAATGCCTCAGCCTTCGGGGTTTGGAGATTGGGGTTCGTGAAGTTGAAATGAAGCTGGGGGTTTTAGGCTCAGACTCGCGCTTTTGGGTTGCCGGGCACCCTAAACCCTAAACCCTAAACCCGAAACCCTAAACCCTAAACCCTAAACCCTAAACCCTACGTCGGGTGCGTTGTAGAATTCGGGCTCTTAGGTCAACGGTTTAGGCGAGGGCACCATGGCCGAAGTCAGAATTTCTGGTCTTCTGTGTTTGCACTATATAGTTTCCTAAACCCTAAACCCCTAAACCCCTATATAAACCCCTAAACCCCTAAACCCCTAAACCCCTAAACCCCTAAACCCCTAAACTCTTAAACCCCTAAACCGCTAAACCCCTAAACCCCTAAAACCACTAAACCCCTAAACCACTAAACCCTAAACCCCTAAACCCCTAAACCCCTAAACCCTAAACCCCTAAACCCCTAAACCCCTAAGCCCTTTTCAAACAGCAAGAGCAACGAAGGCCCCCCAAAAAGCGCAGGTGGCGGTTCATGGGTAGTTATAAGTGGGGTTTTAAGTCCCCTAATATGGGTTATAACTATAGTTACCCTACTTATAACCCTACTTATAGCTACCCATGAACCTCAAAGTAAAGACCCAGGCCCTAAACCCTAAACCCTAAACCCTAAACCCTAAACCCTAAACCGTATAACTACCCATGAACCTCCAAGCAGGTGGCCACCTTCCGCTGCCGAGGGGATCTTCGGGACTCCGCCCTGGCCTGGGCCGATGAGGACGGTGTTTTTTTTTGGGATTTTTGTGGTTTTTAGGGTTTTTAGGGTTTTTAGGGTTTAGGGTTTAGGGGTTTAGGGGTTTACGGTTTAGGGTTTAGTGGTTTATGCGTAGGTTTAGGGTTGTTCTTTTGAAGCGGGCTTGTAGAGTCTATATGTGTGTGTGTGTGTGTTTTTGGCGTTTTGGCATTTGTAAGTTTTCTTCCTTGGGATGTTTAGGATGTTAGAAGGCTTGCAGTTTTGGTTAAAGGGTTCTGGCGAGGGGTGTAGATTGTGGGGCAAGCATGCTGTCCTCACCACAGTCATGAAAACGAGCCCAGTCAGGTTCTCGGGCTTCAGGGTTTAGGGACCCTAAACCCTAAACCCCAAACCCTAAACCCTATAAGGTTTTCCTGGAAAAAGATTTCCGGCTGAAGGATCGTCAGGTCTTCCGACCAGGGGTGTACGCTTGCAAACCCTGAGCCCTAGCAGGAGTCAGTCTGTTCCGGACTGAAAACCCTAAAACCCTAAAGCCCCAAAACCCCCCAAATCCTAAACCCAAAGCCCCTAAACCACTTAACCCCTAAACCCCCCTAAACCCCGCAACCTCCGAACCCGTAAACTTCCATGTTCATGAGGCTGTGACGCTCCAGAGAGAGCTCGGTGTCGAAGCACGGAAAGGGGGTCGTCGTGTGGGGCTTTTCGGGGATTCCGGGTTTAGGGTTTACGGGCTGAGGGTCTTGGGGCTTTCGGAGTTTCGGGTTTGAGCAAAGCTGTTTGGGGCTTCAGGGTTTTGGGGTGTTTGCAAGAGCCTAAACCCTAAACCCTAAAGGTGTTGGAGTTGCGGGGTTGAGTACGGGGGCTTCAGCATCGAGGTTCCACTTCTTTGGGTATACGTCCCCTAAATTACTACCCTATACTTAAAGCCTCGCGTAGAACTACCCATCAGCCTCCAAGTAGGATGTCATTCTTTCGGGTTCCCTAGTTTGTTCGGGTTGGTATACATCCGGTATCCATCACGTCTGAAGCGGTTGGGAGTACTGTGCCACTGGACCTACACCCAAACCCTAAAACCCTGAAGCCCTAAAGCCCTAAACCCCACATTGCCTCAATCCCTTTAAGCCCTGAATGCAAAACCTTGCAACCCTGCGCCGTCCGGATTTGAGGGAGAGCGTGCTTCAAAGAAAACGTGATCCCTAAAGCCTATATGGTATACCCTGAGTCCGACACCGGGAAAGGCTTTGTGGTGCAGAGGATGACACTTCACGACGGAGCCAGGCTACTAAAGAGGTATGCACTATTAGTACGACCATTCCCTTAAAATCCCCATTGATCCCAAGCCCTGTTGTAGTTGTCAAGGCTCCATGCAGTGTTCCCAAAGAACGAAATCTTATCCCTAATCAGGCAATAGAGGGATTTAGGGTCTTGGGTTCCCTTATAATTAAGCGATATACTTGAAATCATACCTTTAAGCCCTCCAGCAGTGAAGGTCGAAACCGGAATTACGTGGTATTGGGCTCTCCGGTTGTTGCCTACGTGAGGTTTCATCCTTGGCTTTCGGGTTTTTAAAAGTGCTTTCACGGTGTTTGTTTATTGTTGCGGTGCAGGGTTTAGGAATTTGAGTAAACCCACTTCATCTATTCCTGGCCACTGTCGATGACGGGTTGACGCCAAAGTCGATTTCGGAGCCATAGCGAGAGAGAAAGCAAGGACCGCACGGGCAACTCCGGCCCATTCATTTGATGGAGATATTTAGCCCCTAAGCGTTAAACCCTGCGCAAACCCTAAGCCCTAAGCCCCAAGTCCCCAAGCCCTAAACCCTAAGCCCTAGGCCCTAAGCCCTAAACCCTAAGCCCTAAACCCTTGAGGGAACCCCTAAAAAAAGTACTTTGCAACTTTTGCTTTCAAGTCTTGGGGTTCCCACTGCTTTTGGCTATGTACCGCCGATGCCTCAAAGGGTTTAGGGCTTCGGGTTTAGGGGTTTAGGGTTTAGGGTTCAGGGTTTAGGGTTCAGGGTTTAGGGTTTAGGGTCTAGGGCCTCAACCCTGAACCGAGGCAACAAGAAGCTAGAAGGCTTCGCCCTCTTGGCTGCTGCTTCCGCATGCACGCAGAAGAGTGCCTCATCCGATCTTGGCTTGTGTGCTGGATGCTAGATTACACCTTGGCCGGGAGGGTTTATTACTCACAGGTTGTACTTCTTACAAAGGTGCTCATAGCCAATTATGACACGTGTTGTGCCTCGGGTCAGGTACAGTTGATGCTCAGCACGGTTGTAGCTTTCTTTTAACGCAGCCTGAGGGCTTAAGAGATTCTGGACTTTCGTAACTATCTCATGGCATGTCTGACTGTGAACTTCAAAATCCGTTCAAGCTAAAAAACCCAAGCAGGCCTGTTATGGTGGTCTCAAATGTAGTATTCAGATCTCTGTACTGTCCGCGCATCATCAGACTAGAAGCATACCCTACCCGATTCGAAGTGTTGAGGCCGCCATTTGGGGATTCCTGATAATGTATCTGCTCTGACAGTTGATTTAGCACAGCAGCAAAGCTCTGATATGTCATTAAGGACTTTGCTTCTTCTCTTTTGATTATCATCCGTGCGCTGTAGTAAACATATGCCTGTATACATACCGCATATATAAACACATACACATATAGACATATATATATATATATATATGTATATGTGTGTAGAGACACATACAGATATGCAGATGCAGCTGTCGATCTGGCTCTTCATACAGATCTAGAGCCAGATATAGACACAGATATAGACGTATTTGCATACGGGTACAGATATAGACCGACATGCAGATGTAGATTTGGGTATAACTAAGTCTTATGTCTGTCGCTCTTATTCGTTCTTTTTGAGAATCCGTCTTGCTTCGGGTGCAGCCCATTTAATATGTCTATCTATAAAGTACATATACATGTAGACATATGTATATACACATACATCTGGGTATATGCAGTACATGGTCTTCCTGGTACAATCTAGCGTGCTCTGCACGGGCCTGCAGGTGTGAAGGCACATCAGCGGAAGCACTACCTGCGTGCCATCAAGTCGCTGAAGGCCTCTCCCATTTTTCGGTCGAGAAGCAATCAGGTTTCGGCTTGGGCTGGCGGGTTTACTGGTTCGAAGGTTTAGGGTTCTGTTTTTTCGGGTTCACTTAGGGACTTAGGACTTCAGGGAGACAGTGTGGCAGCAGCGAAGGGTGGGACGCCTACATACCCTAAAGAACCCTATCATCCCTATACACTCACAAGCCAGCAGAATGTCAGCCGCGAAGTGTCGACTTGACTGAAGGCCGCGATTCAGCTGTTCACTGAGTGTCCAGAGGAGGACAGCTGGCCCTCCCAAGCTATCGGCTTCAGTGGGGGGGTGGGGCTTAGGGGGTTGAGGGGCCTGGGCTTAGGGTGTAGGTTTACGGTTTAGGGTTGGAGGGGTTTGGGTTTAGGGTTTAGGGTTTGAGGGGTTTGGGTTTAGGGTTTAGAAGGCAGGTTTCGAGGCTTGGCTTCGTAGCTTTGCCGCAGCCAGTCAGTGTCGAACATGAGTCAAAGGACCGGACCTCCGTCATTTTTTAAGCCAAGCTGCACGAACTCTAAATCATAAGCCCTAAATGAGCCCTAAATCCTAGACCCTAAACCCAACATCCGAAACCCTAAAAGCCCCTTTTGCATCGGGTTCGAGTTCGGGTCAGGGTTATTCATAGGTGTACGTAGGTCAGAAGTTTTATACGCATGGAACCTTGAATCCAAACGCCCTACGCAACCCAAAAAAGCTGTGGTTTAGGGTTTAGGGTTTATAGACATTCTTGAGGAACGCGTGGGGTTTCGGGTGTGCCCTAAACCCTGGCGAATTCATGGTGGTGGATGTGGAGTTCTCTCCTGCGGATCTAGGCTGAAGCCTGAAACCCCAAATCCCGCACTCAATTCTCCGATCCCAACCCTAAGCCTTACATTCTAGGGCTCGGGGTTGTGTTTTCGGGTTTAGGGTTTAGGGTTTAGGGTTTCGGGTCCTCATTTTATCCATGACTCTGATTTTGCGTTGCTACCGAGGACGTGGTTGGGCGCAGCGGAGAGGCTGGTTGGTTCGCGAGGGACTTTCAGCGGGTAAGGTGTTTACAAGGGAGAGCTTCTTGTGAGAGTTTCAGGAAGGGCCAGGGCTTTACATCGGGTTGATTCGGTTCTAAACCCGGTGTCCTTTCAAGCATTGAACACAGATTTCTCAAGCCTTCAAGCCCACATGCCCGGACGCCTGCAGTCCCGACGAAGAAACATAAACCCTAAACCTTAAATTCCAAACCCTAAACCCTAAATTCCAAACCCTAAACCCTAAATTCCAAACCCTAAACCCTAAACCCTAAAAGAGACCCGAGCCCGGACTCATTCCTTCCAGCCCGAACCTGAAACCTCATGGTTCAGGGTTTAGGGTTTAGGGGCTCAGGGTTTAGGGTTTCGGGTTCAGGCTTTAGGGGTTTAGGGTTCAGGGTTTAGGGTTTAGGGGTTTAGGGTGTAGGGTTTTGGGTTCAGGCTTTAGGGCTTTAGGGTTTAGGGCTCAGGGTTTAGGGTTTCGGTTTCGGGTTCAGGCTTTAGGGGTTTAGGGTTTCGGGGTTAGGGTTTAGGGCTCAGGGTTGAGGGTTTAAGGTAAATAGAAGGAGCCCTGCACCCAACTTAGCAAAGGATCCTAACGCCTCAAAGTCACGTTCATGAACAAGCAGAGCCCTTTTCCTTTGTGTGCGCGCCTGCCCTAAACCATCCGGTTCTCAGGCCACACGGGCTCAGGCTTTTTTTCCGAAAACTCCGATGGCCGGTTTCGGGCCCGTCAAGGTTGAATATTTAAGGTTGGCCTTCCTGTCATATGCTTTTTTAATCGCGATGATTCGATGTTTTGATTTAATGTTATCGTGAAGTAACAGCTTGGTGAGTGAATGTACTTCAAAAGATTGACTATTGAGATAAACGATTGCGTCACAATGACCAATTGCCTGTGTGTATTGAAATGATATTGGCTGGTGATAACTTCAGGTATGTAATTTGTGTAAACACGATTTCAGCACTAAGTGGGAATTTGAGCAGCCATTCTCCATCTTACGGGAGTCTTTGGGCAGGTGGTGTTGTTCTAGGTTTAGAACGGCTGCTAGCCTAGTGGTACTAATCGTAAACCCTAGACCCTAAGCCCTAAACCCTGAACCCTTAAACCCTTAAACCCTTAAACCCTTAAGCCCTTAAACCCTTAAACCCTTAAGCCCTTAAACCCTTAAACCCTTAAGCCCTTAAAACCCTAAACCCTTAATCCCTTAACCCCTTAAACCCTCAAGCCCTTAAGCCCTCAAGCCCGTAGCCTTACTAAACCCTAAACCCTAAAGCCTAAACCCTAAATCCTAAACCTAAAACCCTAAACCTTTCAGGCCAGGGCGCTCCATGGCCTGGCCTCGGCGACTGGCCGGTTGGAGGCACCCCGCTCCGAACTCGCTGTGCTTTGGAGTTAGGGCTTAGGGTGTGGGGTTTAGGGGTTTAGGGTTTAGGGTTTAGGGTTGAGGGTTTAGGGTTTAGGGTTTAGGGTTTAGGGTTAAGGGTTAATCATTGCGTTCTGTAGGGTGTTTTAGGGACTCATAGGGCTTTTGTAGGAGAGTTTTTTTGTAAAGGGTTGACCAGGGTTTGTAGTTCTTACGAACATTGGGTTGATATGAGGCCTTGTCGAGTCCAATATGCCGTCGCTGAGGGTCTTGTAAGAAGGATCCCTGGAATCATGTTACGAACATGCCTCGGAGAAGGGAGGTTTTGCTGCTTTGGGGTTTGATTTGTCTCGGGCGTTTTTTTTGGTTGGGGTCTAGTTTTTGGATATGCTTCGATGCCTCCTTGTTTGTCTTCTCCCGTTCTCACTGCAAGCTCGCAATTCTGTATCGAAGACCCTGAACCCTAAACCTCAAACTCTAAACGCGTAGCCCTACACCCTAGGCCCTAAACGGTAGACCCTTCGGCGCGCAGGATTTTCGGAAGTCTGTCTCGCACGCCCGCGAAGCGGCGGCGATGTTCCAACAGCTGGGCCTTAGCAGCTCGGATGGATTCGCGGACCCCGAGGGGGGTTGAATCAGGGTTCGGTTGGGGGTTTTGCGGGTTTTGTTTGGGGGTTTAAGGCTTTTGGGCCGTGTTTTGCATATTTTGGGGTGTAGGCCCTTCAGCTTTTTTGAGGATGTCCAGGGGTTTCGGGGTCTCCGGGCTTCCGAGTTCAGGGTTTAGCACCAGGGCCTTGAGCCCCAAGCCCTCAACCCTGCGCCCAAAGCCCAAAAGCCCTAAACTTCCCAAAACCCGAAGCCCTAAACTCTGAACCCCAAACCCTAAACCCTAAACCCTAAACCCTAAATCCTAAACCCCAAAGCCCAAAGCCCAAAACCTAAACCTAAACCCCGTGGATCCTGGACCCCTAGACCCCAAACCGGAGCCCCGGATGCCGACGCTCCGAGACCCCACCGCCCCAAAGCTTAGGGTTTAGGGCTTCAGGTTTTCAGGGTTGAGAGGTTTTAGGGTTTAGGTTTAGGGCTTAGGGTTTCCCTAAACCCTAAACCCTAAACTCAGGGTTTAGGGCTTTTAGGGTTGAGGGTTTAGGGTTTAGGGTTTAGGCCTTGAGCTCCTGAAACTTCCAAGTGATGGGCTCTGGCTTCTTCTGAGGGCTTCTTACAAGGATCCCTATGGGGCTCCTTAAAGGGATCCTTATAGGATCCCTGATAGGGTTCCCCTTAAGGGTTCTATAAGGGAGTTATAGGGGTCTAGAATTCAAGGTTCTTTAGCTTCAAGGTGCCAGGGTTGAGGGGCTCAGGGTTTAAGGGGTAGAAGGTTGAAGGTCGGTTTAACCCTACACCCTAAAACCCCTAAACCCTAAACCCCAAAACAACTCTAAACCCTAAAAACCCTAAAAACCCTGGACCCTAAACCCTAGACCCTGAACCCTAAACCCCAAACCTACGGGTTGAGGACCTTCAAAATCTGAACCTTGCAACTTTGACCCGAACCCCCTCGAAGACCCGCAGTCTTAGGTCTCTAAGCCATTTTAAAACCTTAAGCCGTAGACCCTAAACCCTAATCCCTAAACCCTTATAGTATATAACTTATGTAACCCTTATAGTCGGCGTAACCCCCTGAACCCAAAACCCTAAACCCTAGACATCTAAACACTAACCCAACAAGGAAAAGAGGAGGGGCTCGAGCTCGAGTTTCTAGCGCGGCTGCAGCTGCAATTGGGCCACTACAAGGACTGCGGTGGCGTTAGGCCTGGATTTTTCCAATCGGAGTTTCCGGTTTAGGGTGTTCTCTACTACGCCTTAGAGGTTTGATGGCGTCGGTTAAACCCTAAACCCTAAACCCTAAACCCTAAACCCCAAACCTTTGTGTTTTAAGGCTCTTGACTTTGCAGGCTCTTGCGGTGATGCTCGGCTTATCGCCGCAGTTCTCTGCTGTTTTGCGGCGGTTACCGTTGCGATCCGTTGCGTTTGGGTTGAGGGTTGCAACTTCTGAACCCAAAGCTAAACCCTACACCCTACTTGGAGGTTCATGGGTAGTTATAAGTGAGTTATAAGTGGGGTTAGAAGTCCCCTAATATGGGTTATAATTA